AGCGGCGGCTGAAGGCGGGTTGATCGATGAGGTTGAGAAGCCGGCGGTGGTTGTGTTCAGTGTTGACGAAGGTGATGTTGAAGCTGCCGCCGTGGCAGAGAAGTTGAGCTAACACGAGCATGGGTTTGATGTGGCCTTGTGCAGGGAAAGGCAAAAGCACCACATGAGGAGCATCCATGGCGAAAAGTCTTCTGCCAATTTTATTCTGCTTGCCAAATGCCCTGTAAAAGCTTGTTTGTCTCTCATTATTGGGAGAAAATTAGTGTAATGAATAGTATTTTTTTGAGAATGTGTGGTTGAAATTTAAAGTTACTTTATTAATTTATGTGTAGAATATTTTATTGGGTAAATGTGTGGTGGAGAATTTTATTGTAGCAAACAATGTTTTGAAATAATGAACTTATCAAAACGTCATTTCATTGTACGTTGCATTTAACAATAAGAGATTTGATAACTGACATGAACCAACTAATAATAACATTTTGATAAATTCGTCAAATTTATTAACTTTTAAAATAACCAGTCAGCATATGACAAATGAATACGTATTCGAGTTGCAAAGTTCACAACAATTGCGAATCATTGATTTCAATCAAAATGGAAATTTGAGAAGCGATTTTCCTTGAGAAAGTAAATCGCGTATGGTTTTTTGCGATTCTGGTAATCGCAAAAAGTGCTAGACATCATAATTGAATTTTCTTGAACCCCAACAAAACCCACAAACGAATCTCTTCCTTCCCTTTTCCCTGAGCAATCAATTTCCGTTGTTGCATAATATGAGTAAAAATGCTTCTCAGAAGTTTTTCTAAACGCTGCTTTTGCACTGCTATTAATCCACGGCCATGGCTTTTTGTGGGTTTGGGAAATCCAGGAGATAAATATAAGGGTACAAGACACAACGTGGGCTTTGAATTGATCGATGCATTTGCTGCGTCGCAAGGGATCCCGATGGAATCGATCTTCTTCAAGGCCACCTTTGGAAAAGGTCTATTGAGCTAATTACAATATACACCTGCTTGTGGGCATTTTTTGCTTATTTATAGTAGAAGTTTGAGCATGTTTTTTGGGCAATATCTGAAGTTGATGAATATTAATGTCTTGATGCATTTCTTCAGGTCTTGTTAATGGGGTTCCAGTTTTCTTGGCAAAGCCTCAGACTTACATGAATTTGAGTGGTGAATCTGTAAGCAATTAGTTAATATTTTTTTTTTTAAGAATGTCTGTATTTGTGGTTAGCAAAGCTTTTATATTTACTCTGAAACTCTGGGTCGTGCTTTGTAACTTACTGGCGCTATACTTGATTCCGAAACAACGTGTTTATATGTGAGAATTAATATTTTTTTCGAGAGTAAATTTATAAGTTTCAAAGGTTTAGTAACTGGTTATATAATGTATGGTTATGTTTGAACTATTTTGACGACACTCAAGTGGATTTGTTTAAAGCTCTGTTCATCCTTACAACATATTTGTTTAGGGTTATTTATATTTATATCCTTTCAAAAGTTTTAATAATCATAGTTGCAAGGCCAAAAGATGATTCTTGCATCGAATTAGCTGGACTCCTAAAGTACTTACTTCTATTCATATTCTCAAACTATTAAAATGTATAAAATGAATATATATCATAAATGTGACAAAGCTTTTGGTTAACTTCCTGCAAATATCCTCCTTTATTTGATATTGAGCTTGCAGTTCACTATGAAGTAAATTAGGTGGAGTTAACTAGCATGTTGCAAAGCAATCCAACTTGGGACTCCTTGCTCCGAAAGCAAGAATCATACAACTAGGCCAGATTCTTTGTTTGTTATCAAATGTTGAAAATATTTCAACTTTTCTGTGAGAATTCACTCACATGCTTTTTTCTTATTCTCTGGTTTGTCAATGGAATTTTTTCACATGCCTATCAAGGATCTAACTCATATTTCAATATTACAATACTATTGACAAATGAAACTAGGGGTGGGCACCAGGGGCGGAGCCAAGGGGGGGCCTGGGGGGTGCCTGGCCCCCCTCCCATTTTTGACCAATTTTTTTTTTTGTAAGTACCACTTTCAACTCATTTTTCACATCGAAAACATTGGAATTTGGATATGGCTATTGCTAGAAGAATTGTATCCCTTCGAGTTAGCTTTCCAATGGAATTTGAATCATCACANGGAATTTGAATCATCACAATCGGATATCAGTAAAGAAAGTTATGATGAAAATATTGACGACTGCTCAACCCTCGCTCGACTTTCGCTAGAGAATCGCTCGAGCGACCAATGCAGTAACTTTTCGCCCGATTATAACGTAGTTATATAACGTTATCAAAGTATGATTTTACTAAATTAAAGATTAGTACTTTCTTTTATATGTTTCTTGATTTTTTTGTAAATAATGTATCCAAAAAAAATTTCTGGGGCGCTGCCCCCGAACCCCCATGGGCCCCCACCACTTCACCTCTACCACTAGGCCCCCCCTACGTTCAAAGTCTGGCTCCGCCCCTGGTGGGCACAGATACCGGTTTCTTTGAGAACCGTACCAATCTGGTTCCTATTGGGAATTGTAAATAAGGATCCACAGGTTCTGTGGGCAAAAAAGGAACCGGTGCAGAACATAATTGGTTTGGTCTGTTATGAATAAACTCTAAAGTGTAAATTGTGTATAAATTTTTCTGTTTAATTGGTGAGTAAATTGTTAATTATTCTAAATCCTTATTAAAATCTTATAAATCGTGATTTGATTATTATAAAAATTGGTTTTGTAGCTAGAATCCTGAAACAATGTTAATTGGAAATGAACCAGCTATTTTGGTCCGGTTCAGGTGGTTCCCCAAAAAAAAAGGTCCACCCCTAAATGAAATCTCAATTTAAATGAAAAGGGATGCTCTCTCTCTCTCTCTCTCTCTCTCTCCCTCCCTCCCTCTCTGGAGCTGCATTAACTTTCGTTTTCTCTGCAGAGTGGTCCACTTGCAGCTTATTATAAGCTTCCTCTCAATCGAGTGCTAGTGGTACTGTCTTAAAGACAATTTGAAAGAGCTTATCCTTTGTTTAGGTTGTTTAAGTTCATTCAGATATAGTGCTGATCCTTAATGCTTTTTTGTTGCAGTTTCACGACGACATGGATTTACCTTGTGGTGTACTTCGTCTTCACGCCAAGGGTAATCATGGGCGTCACAATGGGTAAAAATATAGCAACTTCGTTTCTTTAAATTACTCGACAATTATTGTTTTTCCCATTGATATGGAGGGTCATGACAAGTGAAGATGTTTTATGCATACTTGTATAGGTGTTTGCCCTTACCATCTGCTGGTCTAGTCTTTATGATGTAATTATGTAACCTAGCTTTGATTCATAAGCCATCGACAGTTTTGTAATTAGCAGTCTATTAACTAATCTCCAATCTTCCAACAAATAAGCAGAACACGCTTCTTATTCTTCCTGGTTAACCTTTCACTATCTGAAGTTGGGGAAGAACTGACATTAAGCATAGAAACAGTCTCCTATATATTTGCCACTTGTTTTTTTTTTTTGTGTGTTTTTATTTCCCAATTTCTGTTGATGAAAGATCCTGCTTTGTGCTTATTTTGGTCACATTGAGGTTGTGATTTTTGTAGGTCTCGCATGTAATTTATGTGTAATCTGAATTCATTACTACTTCATAGACTTTGAGCAAGTGTTCATTATCACTGATTGGAATTGGCTTGTTTCGACAATTTTATTAAAATTGCTGCCACGTTGTTATGACTATTGAAAATTCTAATGCTGATATGTCAACGTTCCTGTTTTTACGTTGATGTGGTTTTAATTAAAATTTTGTGTTTTTTCTTTTTGTAACTTTAAAGTACAATGGTCCATCAGCCACTCGACGTGTCTTACTATCTAACACCACCTTGCTATCCTTGTACATAAGGATTGAACATTTGACTTTTGGATGGATTTTGCTTTTTTCAGAATGGACTCTAGAATTTATCCCGCTCCATTTTTCTGAATTTGTTAGGTTGAAGAGTGTGATCTATAATTTTCGTGGGAATAGGGAGTTTCCTCGGTTAAGAATTGGTTAGTTTGAATCCTCAAGTTCCATATTTGTAGTGGGTCCTCTTGAATTCTGTTATAAATGACTAAATTCAAATATATTCATTTATTAGGTATAGGGAAGCCTCCTGGTCAAATGGATCCAAAAGCATTCTTACTCCAAAAGTTCAATGCTACAGCTCAAGAACGGGTATGTCTATTTCTACAGATCTTGTTTTTAAATGTCAAAATACTTTGACAGGGACCCCTTCCTCCACCTGTAACATTCCAGCTTGTGATTTAATAGGCAGAACCTCTGACAAATCTAAGCATCGCATCTTGTTTTTAAATCATGATATATTGAATTTGTTTTAATAGTGGTCTCTGGCATCGCTTGTTCCGTGTTGTCCAATTTTAGGCTTCTAAATTCTATGAAGTTTCTTGCTGATGTAATTTGATCCAAAATCTGAAGTTGGTAACTTGTACTCACCGGGTTAATTACTTTTAACTGTTGTTTTTATGCATTTTGCTAAGTATATATGGTGAAAAAACCATAACACCTCTGTCCCATTATAATGCGAAAAGTTGTTAACATTGTCTTTTGGTTGTCAAGATTGATGCTGCATTGCAAGAGGGCGTTGATGCATTGAAACATATTTTGTCCAAAGGTCTAACAGAAAGTGCAAGATGCTTTAATACAGAGCAGAAGTACAAACACATAAGACTGCAGACTATGCCAGTATAAGAAGCTATACTCTGAGGTAGTCAGACTGAATACTTGTGCATGCCCGATTTCCTGTGGTCTATTTTAGTTATGCAAAAAATTCATTAATAGTCCATTAGCATTTTTTTACCTATTGTCAAAATAAGTAACTTATTTTATAATTTTGATTAATAAACCTTTTAAGCTTAGTGAAACATTGCCTTCACTTTATCTCCGAAAAAGTACTACTTTATTAAAATTTGCTGAACATTCTCTAGTAACCTACTGTGCTTAATAATATGAGACATGGACTGATTATATTATGTTCATTGCCAGGGGAAGTTACCCATTTAGCTAGAACACCTGCTGCTTGTCTGGTGTCCATAACAAAAAAAACATTGCAAGGATCGTAATCCAGATATCGCAATCAAAGGGTTTCGTCATAAAATCTAGAGTTTGTTGACCACTTCTGTGAGAAGAATCAAATCTACGGTACGAGTGTTTATAGACTTGCACATAAGCTAAAAATTATGCTTGCATCTAGAAGCCTATTGGCCTTATTTCTGTTGTAACAGGGCTGTGATTCTCATACTAAACATTACTAGTGCATACAAATCCAAAATGTATTCTTTTACGGTGATACCTTATTGCTTTTAAAATAGCATCAACTCCCTTTAATTTACTTTACTTTCGCCATTGTTCTTTTTAGCTACGTTTATGCGAGTAAAATGCTGTATTTGTCAAGCTAGATAACAGCGTGTAAAGAAATGGTTCTTTTTCAATATGTTTTTCATACTGTCTCATACTGTCTCCAGAATTTGACAGTTGTATGAATGAGTAGCCAGTTGAATTCCCTTATTTTGAACATGATGTATGGTTATATTGGTGGGCTTTTCATTACACTTGTTTAATGTTTAAGAGTACTGGTTCCACCACAAGATTTTTAACTTATTTTTTACATAAATTCTATCCAATATTGTCCAGTCCAGTGTAATAGAAATGTTATCATTATTAGTCTTGGTCCGGTTCACAGTCACCGACTTTTTAAGCGCTTAGCTTGTGCTTGAGGCGGGACGGCAAGGCCATGTTGTTCAGTTGGAAGATTAAGCCAAGACTGGAATGTTTTGTACATTGGACAAAATATGCTTACCAATCATCATATTCTATTCTATCCATCAAATATAATGTACTATGTATGCCCTCATACTTACAAATATAATGCTATATGCACTTTCTATATATAGAATTTTGACATTAAGAAAGTGCGTAAATTTTTTATATGGTGGATGATAGGATTATTTTCAATCATGCTACATGTACATCATTGTTTACATTGTATCACGTGGCAGCACATCATTAGACAGTTTTAAAAAATACTTTTCCTGTCCACAAATTTTGAAACCAAAGGAAATATCAAAATCAATGTAAGAGAATGAATGTACATGGGTACAAGATTTTTACAAATTGGTCTCCTAACTTCCTCCAGGGTATAATTTGATCCATTTTCATGAAATTTCAATCCATTGACTTCTAATCTCATCCGATTGATCTTTATGATCTCCAATCCTCGTTTTGTGATTTGAATCAACTATTGAATACTTGCACTTTGGTCCCAAAACTTTGAAAATCATCTATTTTCGCTTGTTTTTCGTTTTTTTTTAAATTCACTTTCGATTATTGAGTTTTACCTAAAAATCAATTAATACACAAGATTAAACTATAATTCATCAAAAGTACTACCAGATATTCCTATTTAAAGGCCTAGATAAGTGTATAAATTACACTTATCAAGTGACTTTGTGTGTATATATTCATTTTTGTTGCGTTGAATGTGAGGTTAGTATTAATATTTGTAGGAGTTTAAATATTGCATGAGGCAAATATTTACCCTTTTGTTTTAATTAGACACTTTACTTATTTTGAGGGGGTCTGTTTAGATCATTGACTTGATCGCAAGAGTTTATTGAATGCATGAGATTACAAGGTTAATCATCCTCGTCTTTTCATCGGGATAGGGATAGGACTAGTTGATAGGTCCAAAAGAGTTGATGTCCAATAGAATCATCTTATATTTAATGCAAGTTTGGTGTCATCTAATCCTATATTTACAAGACTTGTTCGTGTTAAGACAGTTGTGGTGTAGTATTAACATTATTTCCGCTCATGTAACTAGGATATGCTCTTTCATCCCTTAGATTGTGATACATGTAGTAAGCTAAGAATTTCTTGTATGGTAATAAGTGATTTCGATGGTCTAAATTATTGCCATTATTTGTTAATGTTTCTTGTAAACAGGAAGAAAAATGATTATGGAACCAACTAAAGCATTGATTAGGTTGAATGGAATGAGATAATTATGAGTGGCCCCCTTCATCATCATAGTTTCTTGTGCACGCTTGGAACTTAATTCGATATTTAGTCATCATGTTCAGACGTGCTTCAAAGTAAATTAATTTTAAAAAAATAAAAATAAAATGGTACATCCCTTTCATGAAGGTCAATCTCACGGATGAAAGGTTCATTTGAAAGTGAGGGACGACAGTGAGTTCTCCATTTTAACGCAATATCAAACTCTAGATATATAGTAATAAATTATTGCACAAAAGTGTAGCTTAATTATTGTCGATGGAGTCAGCACGTGAATAGACTTCCACGATGAGGTTGTCGTGGGATTGGAAGGAGCAGGGAAACTCCCTCCGGATATTTCATTAAAGACAACTTAAAAATTTCACACTTGTAATTTTGATTTTGCCTTATTTTTTCTTATAAGTAGAAAATCGTTATTACCATAGAGAAGATAGTGTGCAATTTTTTATTGTAAACTTATTTTTAACATAGTGAATTTTTGTAGCGGCGAAAGATGACGTAGACGAACCTCCATAAATCTTGTGTGTTCTTGTGTCTATTTTCTTTCAGCGAATTTATTGCTCTTGGTCATAGAATTAATGTCTAATTCTCAACAATCATCTATAGAAAATCGAATTAAAGAAAAGAAAACTAGAGAAATTTGTGCAGCTATATCCTCACGTTCGTAGTGGACGATTGAGAAAGGATTTCTCAGAGTAACCAAGAGTCAACTTTCACGCGTATAAAACTTTTAGAAAAAGTAACTTTGAGTTACTTTTAAACATGATTATATGTACTGAAAGCTCAAACATTTACGCAAGGAATCAAAGTTAAAAAAACAACATCTCTTCCAAAGTGGTTTCCCACTCGAATGAAGAAAATGGCAACCGACAAGTGAACAAATACAAAGCACCAGCACCTATCAACTGTGCCTATTTGAGCAAGAAGATGGATCGATGTCTAAATCCAAGAATAGCTATAGTGAAGAGAGGTGAAAAATCTTCTTTGACAAAGGAAAAACAATCATAGCATTTTCATGGAAGGGCCATGGACTTCACGTTTCTTATGTCCCTCAAAAAGTAAAATATGAAATTAAAATATTTATTATACTTATATATAGTCATCATTAGTGAACATTCTGTGACGATCATGGGAAATTTCAAGAAAGTTTGTGTATTCTGTGGAAGTAATTCCGGGCACAAAAAGATATTCGGCGACGCAGCACTTGAGCTTGGAAGAGAACTGGTTTTTCCTCTCTTCTTGTGTTTATCCTATATATTACAATAAACAAGATTTTAACTTTTTTTCTAATGCTGTCAAACAATGTGAAGTTGAGCGTACTGAACATGACAGAAGGGCTTTAAACTTTCGACTTGCAGGTAAGAAGGCAGATGGATCTAATCTATGGAGGAGGAAGTGTTGGTCTAATGGGTATGGTTTCTCAAACGGTTCATGATGGTGGATGTAACGTTCTCGGGTAAAAAGAACACACAAGCACGCATGCACGCCCCGTGCGCGCGCACGCGCATATGTATATGTGTGCAAGTTTTACCTTTGTATCATTGAGATCTTATACATGTTCTTTTCTTTTTCTTTCTGGCTAGAATTATCCCAACAGCTCTGGTTCCAATAGAGGTATATATATATGATTTTTATCTTTATTTCTACCACTTTTTCTTTCAACACGAGACTCAGTCGAGAAACTCACCTCCCCCTGACTTTCCTGTCCGATCCCCCTATCGATTCAATTCCAATGTGTAATTAACTACTAGTTATCAGATATCAGGACAAGCAGTAGGAGACGTACTGACTGTTTCTGATATGCATGAAAGGAAGGCTGAAATGGCTCGTAGAGCAGATGCTTTTATTGCACTCCCTGGTAAATAAATTTGAAATCCTAATGTTTCAAGTATTTTCTCTAAATTTGTTGCAAATTAAGCTGCCTATATTTGCTGCAGGAGGATATGGAACTATGGAAGAGTTGCTTGAGATAATTTCAGGGTCACACCTTGGAATTCACTGCAAACCGGTAAGTACAGTTGCAATGCATTTAAAACATAAAGATTTACCATCAGATATAGCATATCAATTTGGAACAACTTAACAGGAGAAATTACTGAATATAGAAATCTATTGCTATCTGAAACAGGTTGGTCTCTTGAACATTGATGGGTATTATGATTGCTTACTCGGATTATTCGACAAAGGCGTAGAAGAAGGGTTTATCAGGCACTCGGCCAGAAATATTGTGATCTCGGCCAAGACTGCTCGAGAGTTAATAGAGAAGATGGAGGTACGTTTACATACGTCGGCTACTTTGAACAATCCTAAATTCCAGAACAAATTGGTCTTACTCCTAGGTTTTAGAATATGTTCTTCCAATTGAATCCCAAAGAATTAATAATAAATGTATACCAGGGTCATGTTTCATATGTTGGATTGGACATAACTAAGGAAGAAAAAGTATTTATTTACTTTTGCCCATCTTGCCATCTTTTTCATTCGTTGGGCTCTCAGGGGAGGGGCTAATATTACTCAGATAGTTCTATTTGTACCAAATGTGGTTACCGAAAATGTGCCACCCTCTCACATGCGTGCAGGGCCGGGCCGCGTGAATAAGAAATTCCCAAATGTGTGGTCTCCACGCTCTATTGTGGGTGTAGGTAAAAGATTAGGTAAAAAAGAGGATGTACGTGTAGCATAGTAAATAAAACTCCAAACATAAACAACGGACCAAGAAGAAACACAAGATGCAGGAAAAAAGCCCCCCAATTTGTACTAACAGGGTGATCCCTACTGGAAAAAGTAAACTTACCATTACTTAGAGCAAGTTTATGTTACATTACATAAATGTATTTCAATACGGTCTGATTCTGGATTGTATTGCTTCCTAACCATTGTTTACGTTCTGTGCAGGCTTATGCACCATTGCACAACCAAGTGGCACCAAGTGAAAGTTGGAATGTCAAAAATCCTACAGTTGCAAACTTATAGTCAGCGATTTGTTTATCTTTTTTGAACTTTTCATTCACCGACAACCTTCGCAGCATGACAAATGCAACCGAAAGTTACACGGATAAAAACTGTTGTTCATCCGTAGTAAAACATGTGATTTCATTGAATAAAGTAAATTGACTTTGAGAAGCAAAAAGCTAGTTTAAAGTAACTTGTACTCATTTTTAAGGTCTTACATTAATAGATGAGCATTGGAATATTGCGTCAGGAGCGAAGCAATGCTCAAGATCTCTGGAAAAATGATATGTGAACTAGCATGCATAAAAGTTGAAAGGCTTTAACCTGTGATTCGTGTACTCATGTCTTTGCTCTAATAAAGATAAACACAACATATGCCACCTAAGCATACACATCAATCAGCATCTTATATAAAATAAAAAATATAGAAAAAAAAAATTGTGAGTGACGCCGATGATTGGTGATTCCAGACATCATCGACGACATCGTTGTTGGTAATTACAAATGAAGGTGCTTCTTTATTGGAAATTCCGTGTGAATCGTTAATGTATATAGACTTTAATCAGAATCATCTACTGTTGTACCGCTGATGATCATCAACGGCTTTTCATAGGTGACTGAAGCACCATCAATGATTTTCAACAATATCACTGACGATATTGTCATCGCTAATCACTAACGAAGGTATGTTGGTGATCACCAATGATATCGTAGTGAGTAATTTCGTACGAATCATTAACATATATTGATTTTAATTAGGATCAATAACCTCGTACCGTCGATGATGACCAATAAAAAATTAGTGATCATTTGCTCAAATAATTTATTTACTATTATTATTCTCGAAAAGAATTTTTTGACGATTTCTCTTAAAGCCCCAAATTGCTTGAACCGCCTCTAAACTTAAATGTCCTCAACTAAACCTGTGGATAGCAATCAAAACCTAGGTTTGATCACTTCCTCACAACCTGATTTGGAGATCACATTTTTAGAAAATCCCTCTTCTAATTTTTCAATCATAGCCTCAATAATTCACATGCGTGATTCAACTAGAGATGACAACATGGCGGGTTCGGGGCCGGGCTGGAGTGCCCCGCCCCGCCACTTCCCCACCCCGTCCTACCCTGTGCCCCGCCCCACCTTAGGCGGGGTAGCATGGGGTGGGATGGGGCTGGTTCGGGGCTCGTGCTTACCCCGTTTCCTGTCCCATTTAGTTTTTGTTTTTTTCAAAAATTTCCAATGAACTATTTTTTGTTTTTAGTTTGTAGTTAATTTTTTTTTTTTATTCTTCACGGGATAGGTTCGGGGCGGGGCACCCCCTCCCGCCCCGACCCACCAACCTGTCGGGGCGGGGCTCGATTCAACCTTGAATTACTGAACCAACGTTGCCATGTCAACATATACATGTCCAACTAAAGATGAAAGTGGGCCTCTTCGGCCTACTCTCTTTTTAGATCGTGTGGGGGTCTTGTCTGTGCCACTCTCCAAACAGTCTGGTCCGTGGCTTGGACCAGCAAAGTTGACATTTCTATGCCCAATCCAATACACCTTTGTAATCCGACCCATACGCCTCTTGCTATGAAACGATTATTTTGGTATGAGTTTGAAGAAATGAAATGCCAGCGAGTATCAAACATTTTATTCTTGAGCGAGACTCGATTAACCAGGAAACTCCTACAATTATTTTTTCTTTTGCTAAATTCAGTAATGTTGTTTATTCTTTTACAGAGAAATCTAATGTGCATTGCACGACCTAAAGAACAATGCACATAGCACATGCTTCAACTATAATTCAGCTTACAAGTCACAAGTTACAACTGAAAGGGGTCACACTCCGGAAGCATTAAGTTCTATTAAGGTTAGTCGGACATTTGAAGTCAGCTGATGTCGATTTGCATGAGTCTCCACGTTAAGAAGATGAATGTTTTGATAGTTGATGTGCGAAACAAGAATAGAGTTAGCAACTGTTAAACAATCCAAAGAAATAAAGAAAAGGAAAAAGAGGCTAGGGTTTCATTAATTCTACATAATGCAATTGAATACAAAAGAATGATTTTAATCTAGAAACAAAAAGACTATATATAGGTTAAATAAAGGAAATTGAAAAGACTATCCTACCCTTAATAAACAATAAAATAAAATAACCCTATATTTTTTAACAGCAACATCCACAGCTAATTGTGGTAATTAGCATTCATGTTTCGATATTTAAGTCAGTGAGAATTTCGAAAGTTTTGATGGAAAATATGTTGTATGATAAATATTGACATTATATTGAGAAATTTGGCTTTAACTTACGCGATAATGGCGAATTTGAGTTTGTAATGACACATTTAAGTGAGCTTGGACGAGTGTTTTTACAAAAACCTCGAGGAGTCTCGTTCATCCACATGCTTACAACAAATGGAACAATTTTTACTTTTTTCTTCAAATTTATTTTCAACCATACATTTTATGCATCGATTTTTTAACCACACATTTCATCAATTTTTATCAAAATTTACAAAGAAAAATTAAAAAAAATATAATTTTTAGTTAAACCAAACTGGGGCTTCATACTTCCGCAATAGTTCCTTGCATATAGCATTTGATGTTACCTAGGTAAGTTGATTTTGTCCTTCTCAACCTTACATAAAGAGAGTTATTGGAGGTATAGTCATTGTACTTGATTTCTCCGAACTCGTTTATACTTCAGCTCTCAACTGAGCCTCAAATCTCATTAGATATTGTGGTTCAGCTCGGCCTTAGTCTGCTCAAAGATTTCACATCGGTTCGGCTTGAGCCTCCTTTGTTCTGAGTTTCCTCAGATTTCAAGTCGTTGGTTGACTTCATTTTGGCTTGACTCGAGTAATTTCTTAATTGGTCCCTACCTTTCTATGTGGCCCTTCATGCTTGGAATTGGGGCATCATTCAATGGTGATATTGAATTTTGAATCAGAATATATAATATTACCCTATCTCCATCTTGGAAAAAGTCATATTATTTCATCATACATCTCTTGGAAAACATAGTAACTGTCATCTGGTCATTGTTGAAGACTTGAAATAAAATAATTTATGAAACTAACCTTTTTCTTTGCCCAATACTCAAGAAAGTATGTCGTCTCAAGTTTACCTACGGAAAAACTACGTTGTGGTCGGTAGTCCTCAGTCTTCACTCGGTTTCTAAACCTTGTTCTCCAGACAAACGCCAAACATGGTCCCTCACACGGTTTCTTAAAACTTTCTCAAAGAAATTTAGCATAAAGAATGGGGAAAACTGAGATGTCAACTCTTGAAACTTTATTGATAACAGGTTAATCTACTTGTCGTTCTTTTTAATCTAATTATATTAGACTTGACAAGATTAAAGAAGAAAGACGTGTAATATTGAATAATGCTTCACATATAAGAACTATTTTCATAGGTCACTCGCATGGCATTCACGCATGTGGGTTCGCACATAATTTTTTTTTTAATACATGGTGGGGCCCACCCATGTGAGTAGCTTGTTGAGCTCTCGTGAAAATAAACTCTGTACGTGGGGATTAATTCTGTAATATTAGTTCGTTGTTCCTTACTTGTTTCTTATTTTTCATAAACAAATCAAAAGTCATTTCTTGGTGTGAGAAAAGCATACTAGTAAAGAAATCCCGTAACTTCATTTCTCACCGTTACAAAAGTAACGATCGTGTTGATGGTCAGCTATCATAAATTTATATATTTTTGTCGGTTTCAAAAAAATTTATGGTTTATTATTACTCTCAAGATCAAGAATTAAGGTTTTAATCTATAAGATAGCCAACGACACTCAAAAGGAGTTGACCTTAAAGCTTGAATGTCGTTCAAGAAACTAGACCAAGTCATATTCAATATTACAGAACAGATCATTTTTTATTTTTTGTTTCATCAATCCATGAACACTTGAAAAGTTAGAAAACAGTCAAAAAAGTTGGAACTTAATCTTTTGAACTAATCAAAGGGTATTGAAACACAGAAATTTTCAATTTTGCATCCCTAATCGTACAAGAAAAAAATGACTGTGTACATGTTTATTGTGTAAGAACTCCATTACAAAAAAAATGTAAATAAATTCCTATACCCTTTTTTATACCCACTAAAAAAATAGGTTAATCAAAAAATATACTCAATAGTTTCGACTCGAGTCACTAAGGCCTCTAGACAATGGTGATTGTTGCATTCTTGAATGGCAAATACTGTTAAGAGGTAGACTGCAGCTGTCTGGTGTAGATGCACCAGACGGGGAGTCTAATCTTAGGCGTCGATCACTTCTTGGCGACAAATTTACTTGTTCCAAAGCATGTGATTGCAGCCCGGAAGGATAGTCTCTCACGCATCCAATGCGAGGTCCAGCTCCCGAACTCCATTTGCAAGATAGTTGCTTCCCCAATTGATATGACTTCATTTCTTTATGCGAATTGATCCTTCGCAGAATTGCTTCTTCGGAAATAATCTCCTCTTTAGTTTCGTCATGTTCATCTTCTTCTGCAGGTTTATATCTATCTACGGGCGATTTCAGGAGGAAATCATCAGCATTTAAGTCGGCTGTTTGATTTTCGCGGTCCAATCGCTCTAATAAATCATCGTTGCTTGGTATTTGAAGATTACTTAGTTTTTGACTGAAGCCATGATATGTACTCGACCTTGACATCTGCATTGCACTTTCATCTTCTCTTGAATTAACTTTATCCAAAGTGGAATTTTCGATAAAGTTTTCTTGTGTCTCCAAGTCATCTTCAGATGAATTAGTTCTCAAGTGTACTCTGCTCTTCTTTCCAATATGTTTTTCTTCTTCTTCTTCTTCTTCCATTGAATCGAGCTGCACACAATGAGATTGAGATTACTCAGCATAGATATCTTGGTTTCTCCTCGTGAAAAAATAAAAATAACAGAAATTGGGCAAGTTTCTCTGTACCTTAACATCAGCAAGATCCACGTTGTTCTCTTTCAGAAATGATTTGAAGTCCTCAAAATTTTCAGGAGTTGGTCGATAATGGCCACTGTGAGGCCACACTGCCTGTTAAAAAATTGCCAGCAAGAATTTTTCAGATTAAGTAATTGCTGAAATGATATAACAAAATAAATGGAAAAAAAAATGTAGACCCAATAGAATTTCTGTGTGTAAGTATTCACACTATAAATATACCTTTAAGGTGCCATTTTCGACAACCATCCTCCCAGCAGCCAATGTGGCCCCTCCAGCCAAGAAACTAGAGTGCTGAAACGCGCCTTTCTTTTTCTTGCCAACATATAAGGTCCGAGAGGTACTGAGAACAAAAATACACTTAACGCCCTTCAGGTCTCGAGTGGTATCGAGGAACTCCCCTGTTTGCTTGTAGAAGAGCCTCCCATTTTCCACTGAAACTTCATAAGCCTTTCTTTCCATCTGTTGCAGGACAGCTAGAAATTATCAGTAAGCGAGTTCTTGAAAGTCAAGGAAAAAAATTTGCTTCAACTTAAAGGAAAAGAATTTGCAGTGATGGATGAAACACGCACCGGACCAAGATACTTGATGCACTGTTGCTGAAGTTTTGATCGAGGGCATTTCTCTACCAGATTAACTTCCTTCCCTTCTCCTATGTCTAGCCTGCATTGTCAAAATAGTGTAGTTAATATCATGACCAAATTTCCATAAGGATTACTACTAAATGTACATAATCCATTACATAATGGATTACACCCCCCTCACATGGAGGGGAGCCCACACACAATAAAATACTCGTGGGTCCCCCTCCATGTGAGGCGGTGTAATCCATTAGGTAATGGATTGGGTGTACATCTAGCACAACCATTTTCATAATATAGATCTACGAATAAATAAGTGTTTCAATTTCTAGATAATTACCAGTAGAAGAAGGGCTCTTTGCTTAGAGAATTCAGCCATTTGATGTAATAGAAATGCAGATTGTGCCCATAACGATGCCGCGGATCAATCTACTCCGTTCATAAAGAGAATGAAAAAATTAGTTTTCTAGAAGATACGTAAATTTTCTGTATCAAACTTTAATCCCTGATTCCATTATCAATAATAAGCAAGCAGAAATTAGGGAAAAACGCAAAGGAACATGATGATCTATAGTGGGTTCATTCTCAATACGACAGCTACATATGTCTACACACCCCTACAGGTTTTCACTGAAAAATGTGAAGAATAAATTCACAACGGACAGTCACGCGCCTCTCTCACTGTGTGCATGTCTCTATACTAAAATGGATCCCCCTAATATCCGCAATAGAAATATTAGGTTAACTTAATAGTTAATACAAAATATGAATGCTCAATATACCCCTAAAATTTAGTCTCGACCGGTATAATTAGGCTCCACACATGAGATAAAACTTAAGATAGATATAATGAACTACTCACTGCTTCAAGCCAATGTTGTAAGGCTAGTTTCTGGGCTTTGCAATTCTTTGATAAACCTTTCCCAACCTGCATAAGCAAGGAAATTAAGGTTAATGATTCACCACTTTGATGAAAAATAAATTTGCAAAAACACATAAAGATAAGTAAAAATATACCTTTGCCGCTCTTGTTCTTGCTCTTGACCAACGTGAAATCGCAGACTCGTGTTTCTCAAGATCAAAGAATGAAATTGAACTTCGCTTGAGTTCTGCAAAATCTAATAGCTTCCACCAACTCTGCTCAATCAGAACAGCACAATCAGCTAGCTTTCTTCTTGTTCGAAAGCTTTTATACACCTTTTGCAACTTTATAGCAGCCTCATGTTTCGGGCTTTGTGAATCCAATTCCAAAATCGGCATTTGCGGGATTCTTATCATCATTTCAGTTTCCGTTGTTTTGAAGCTAACGGATTCTCCGACCATCATTTCCCCTGAACCCGATGACATCAATGTTTTCTGTTTCAAATTGTTTTCCTTGTAGCCAACAGATCGAACTGGTGTCTTATGATCACCATCTCCAAAGTTGATTGACTTTATAATGACTGATTGAAAACCATTCTCTAAATCAATATAAGAAGAGAGCGGGCACGAACAAGATAACCCCATGCAATTCGAAATGGATTTGAGACAACCTATGAATGCTGGATTCCTGTTAAAGAGGAACAATTACTTAATAATTGAATATAACATCCTTCGTATCAAAACAAGGTTAGGTGTGTCAAATACATTCAAAATCACGTGAAAGAGATTCACCTCAATTATTGCAAATACGATAAGCAAGCCATGAGCTGTAAAATGACTAAAACTAAGAAAAAAATAAGTACTCAACCTAACAAATAAAAAGCGATTTCGATCACAGTGGCAGATTAGAAACTCAACACTACAGAAACTGAGCACTGATAATGGATTGGAAAATAGTATTAAGAAACAAACATAAACTAAAATTTGTATTGGTATCAAACATCTCAGAATAGTACTATTAAAGCAAGAATTTGGCTGTATGAACAGCAGAATCTTTTCCACAAAATCAAGTGTCACGAAAATCCCATCAAAACAAATAAAAGATTTACAAAACCCATTCAATGAAATGACAATTTCACTATTATAAGAAAATGACATAAGCAAATTAGCCAAGCAAAGAAGACAGAACCCATTGTACAGAATGACATTAAAAAAAGCATAAGATTAAACACTCCAGAAATGATAAACCATTTCAATTCAACTCGCTGAAAAACACATCTTAATCCCAATAAAAGGATTAATTAAGAATTAAAGTCATCATACTGTAAAACAGAACCACGAAGGACGTAAATATTAAAAAAGAAAGAAAAAAATCGTTACCTGAATGCAAAAAATTATTTGAACCAAGAAATCTCTCTGAAGAGAGGTTGGAGAATAAAAGAATGGATAGAGGATCCGAATCAATGAACTATGAGAAAAATATTAGTGAGTGATTTAACAAAAGAGTGATAATGGGTTCAATTTTTTCGGGTTCTTTTAGCTATTCAGAGCTGTTTACAAGAGCATTGTGCGTTTGATAGTAGAGATGCGCATATATATATATATAGGAAGAGGGATACAGTCTTTGGACTTGGGGTTGCCGGTGGACGGTGAGAGAACACGTGGAATGGACTTTACGACGATGAGATGGAAAAGGAAAATGAATTATCTATTTTCATAGCATTTATTTCCACCTTGTGTGGAATTAATTATTTAAAAATACGATTAAAAAGTAGGAAAATATTACCACAAAAAGTAAAACGATTGTTTTTTTTTTAAAGTAGACTTTGATTAAAAATGCAGTTGTGGTGTGTCGTGTACATTACAATTTAAAGATTTTTTTACTAGCAAATGATGTGATGATATTTGATCAAGTCAAAATCTCACAAATCAAATGGAAATAATAATTCTTTAATTCTTTTTGCCATTAACCCATATTATGGCCCTGTTTGGTACGAATCAAAATCGAATTTTATTTTAAGTCAAAGTCAAATAATCAATATCAACCACATCTTTCTTGAGTTCCACAGCTTTTCAATTCAAAAATTTCTATCACAATCTACTAAAAATCTAATTTTAATTTATAGAGATTTTGATAATTTTAATTCAATTTAATGTTGTAAATGAATCCGTCAATGATAATGTATGACAAATATTTTTCTTGAAAATGAGTGTGGAGAAATTTTGTTTTTTTTCACTTTTAAGTTTTAATTAAGGACGAAGTCATACATGTTTAATTACTTTTCTATCCTTGCTTGACTTCTTATTTTGAAAGTGCTCCACTTTCTTTCACTCAATTTCCTGAAAATTGTCCAATGCTTGGCTATACTCTTGACTCTTGAATGATAATGCAAGACTTGATGCATTGCAAGGTTAGGGTAATAGATAATTATCTATTAGCAAAATGATCTTCCGAAAATATAAAATCAATATATGTATCGAATCGAACAAAAATATATTAAAGAAAAAAAAAGTTGTTGTTTGGTCTAAATTAAAATCTCAAATCAAAATTAACAATTAATTTTAATCATACATTTTATGGTATTTTTAAACTTTTCAATAATATATTTTATCAACTTTTATCAAAATTTACTAAAAAATCGATTTTAATCTGCACCAATATGGGCATAATATAGTCGTCGCGTTTTTCATCTCTATAGAAACTTAGCACCATATACACACGTTACCAATATACGAGAAACAAGATTGGGAAAAATGATAGAAATTTTTCAATGAGAAATTCTTTTGGCCCTTTAATGAAGTCAAATATTTTATGATTCAATCCTCCAGTGGATAATTGACTTTACCAGTAATGCCCTGTTTGATACGCCAAATTTTTCAGGGAATTAGGAAAATATTTTTCATTTTTCACTTTTTTGACTGTTTGATAGGCGAAATTTTTCACAAAAAATATTTTCCTTCTTTCCTCTACACGTGTGCATTTTTCGATTTTTTGATGAAAAATTTTTCCCACCGTTTTGGTGGGAAAAAATTTTCCAGGCTGGATGGAAAAAAAATGTTTTTTTTTTTTTTGCAATGGAAACAAATGTTATAACCAATGGTAAAATTTTTTCCACTTTAATGGATAATTTCCATGAAAACTAAGTCAAACGAACACTAAACTTTGATTAAAAATTGATTTTTTAGGAAATAATTTTTTTTCTTTTTTTTTACTTTTTGGCAATGGAAACAAATTTTATAACCAATTGTGGAAAAAATTATCACTTTAACAAATACTTTCCATATAAAACAAAACCAAACGAATAGAAAATTTAAAAATTTTTTGGATGGAAAATTATACCAATCAAACACACTTGAAATCATTTTCTAGGCAAATCTTTTCTCTGTAAAATATTTTCTTTCCACCAATTTTCCACTCTTACAATCAAACGCACCCTAAGGGTAATTGGAGCAAAACGTCTCTACCTTTGCACGTTTTTTTGCAAAACGTCCATACCTTTCGTTTTTTGGCGCAGAACGTCCACATCTTTACATTTTCTTGCGCAAAACGTCATTTTAGTCTCTTTTCACCATTTTACCCTTCTATTAAAATAAAACAAATACAAAAGAAAAAAAAAATAAAGAATAAATTGTAATTATGGTTTCAAACTTTTAATGTGCAAATTAGTCACAAATATGAAAAAACCATCACCCCTAAGCCGCCACCTTTGAAGACAAAATCTCCAACCTCCGATCACCTTGGGCGCAGGACCAACGTACCACCTTGAAGCCCTCATTATTCTCTTCACAACCCACCCAACCACCTGCCCCAACTCTAGCAGATTTGATCATAATCGAGCTTTAAACTTCGCCACAGGATACGCGGTCAAAAGCCGGAATCAAGGCTTTCGGCCACGTTCCTGGCCAGAACATACCACCGGCTAACTCCCCTACTCAGGACGACCTCGACCATGCAAACAATTTAGCCCAAACAGCAAGGATAAGATATGAATTTCAAATTGAAAGCTATCCGTCGCGTTTGTCACGACACCGCACCAGTTTTCCTCAAATTCGAGCTTCACCGTGATGACCCATGGTGGCGGAACACCTGGGCTCGGTGCACCATCACCTGGAGCACCTAGCCTAGCCGTGGGTCCCCTTCAATTTAGCTTTAATCATCTTCAATCTGGGTCTGAAATGTTCGCTGGTGCGAACTCACAATGGGACTGTCTTTGCTTTGAAATTGGTGGTTGTTGGTTGCTTGTTGGAGGAATTTGTTTACATAGGTAGCTTCGACTTGATGAGGAGAGTCAACCAGCGGTGGATTCTCGTCGGTTGGGTGGCCGGACGGCAGTTGTGGGTGTTTGACCGATATTCAAGCTGCAATTTTTGAATTTGATTTTTGGCCAAATTACAATGAGTTATTGGGATTCTTGGTATGTAGTTGTAGAGGGTAATGAGGAGAACATGTTGGGACCAATATCAAACGGTTTTGGAGGTCGGAAGTCGCCGAAAAATGAGCTCATGTATTCTGCTGAAAAGGGGGATGGGAGATTTTTTTTTTCTTTTTAATATTTTTATAAGTTTTGAATTGATTTGCATTTTTTTAGAAAATTTAGAAGTAAGATTGAAATTTATTCTTGATTTTTTTTCTTTTACTTTTTGTTTTATTTATATAAGATGGTATATTAGTCATTTTATGTTAAATATTAGTCAAAATGACGTTTTGTGCAAAGAATGTGAAAGGCATGGACGTTTTGAGCCAATTACCCTTTCAATAATCATCCTGCCATAATTACCCATGTTTGATTCTTTTACTTTATTTTAATTTGTTGCTTAGCTAAAGAAGGGTGTTCTCTGCGCCTATGCTTAACAGGGCTCATCTGATACTCATTTTCAGTCGCATATTCACACGTAAAATATTCTACAAGTAAATTCAAAATTTTTTTTTACTTTTTAATCACACGTTCTCCAAAAAATACTATACAAAATTATGTTTTTAGTTTGATGCATATTATGGAAAAGAAAATGCATTTTATGATGTGATATGATGTGATGGAAAATAAGAAAAATTTTAGATTGACGTCTAATATATTTTATTTAAGAATGTGTGGTTCAAAATTAGTTTTGAAAGAATGAATTTGGTGAGAATGTGTATCAAACCGTGGCTAAAATTTAAGGACACCAAACGTGGGCTTAAATTCTCTATTTTTTGCAAAACGGCAGCTTAGCTTATCCTCCAAGCTTTCATTTAGTCAAGTGTACGGAGTTGGTGAACATACGTTAATATTATAGTATTGATTTATTTTTTTATTTCAAAATCGATTGTTCAAAGACATTGAAACTTCCAGGAATTGGTCAAAGTTGACCCACCAGTTGACCATAATTTTGTAGAAGAAGGTGAGTTAATATGAGACAAAAGGTGTTGTATAAATTCTATTGGAAGAGATATTTTAAACACGATTATAATTTTTATTATTACATAAGACGATTGTTCATTCTCATTTACTGAGAAATTACAGTATCATTTCGAATTTGAAGGTGAACCAAACTTTCTCGACTTGTAACTTCTGGTTGGTTGAGAGTGTGTTTGGTAGAGATTTTTGGAGGAAGAATTGATTTTTGAATAGTGATATGATGGAAAATATGTGGTTGAAAAAAAAGAA